GTGCAGGGGCTGAGGCTGCCAGTGCTGCAGAGCTCTTCACAAAATGAACTACATATGATTGTCACTTTTTAAATAAATCCATTCTTGATACTCCAGCAGGCCTGTCTCTCTCCTTCCACAGTGCAGAGCTGTGATGCTGGTCAGGGATGCCCTGCCTGTGGGCAGAGCTCAGCAGGGTCACGGCTGGCACCACACCGAGCACTGTGGCAGGAACCTCATGTGGGGCAGCAGGTGCCACAGGCAGTCCCAGAAAAGGGCTCAGCCTGCCAGGAAGGACTTGTGCCTGCTCCTTCCCAACCTTACCCCAAAGGCTTCCTTTTGTTTTGCACTGTCGAGGCAAGGATGGAAGGGGTGACAGTGCCACACGTGGACAGCCCCATGCAGGGGGACAAGCCATGCAGCTTCCTAACCTTATGGCTCACTCCCATAAGGCTGCACTCAGCTCAGCACCCAGCTGCACCCACAGACCAGGCACCACCATGGCCTGGGCTGGACGGAGTGCCCTGAGCCCCACAGGGTGGCATGACCACCCTGCCTAGGGTAGAAACAAGTGTCTCAAGTCACTCAGGAGCCACATCAGGCTCTGACACCACTATTATCAGATTTCCTGAGGAAGAGGCCCTGTGGCCAATGGAAGCTCTACCTGGGGCTGTGGGAGAGTAAGCAGGAGAGCACAGCGCAGTAGGCAGATATTTATTGGTGTAGAGAGGAAAGGTTCACAGGAAAACAAACTGCAGAGGTGACCACAGCACAAGCTGGGACAGAGCTGCTCTACGGATCCCTCCCTGCAGCAGCACCCAGTGCCTTTCCCACCAGCAAGGCTTCTCCACTGCCACAGCACATCTCCCAGAACTCAAGTGCAAGTAGGAGCTAGCTAGGACACAGAGCAGCAAGGAGCAGGCTGCCACGCCACACTGAGGGCTTGGCTCCCACCTCAGACCACGGACAGGCAGGGCCTGGGACATCTCTGCACTCATCAGGGTGACCAAGGTTGCTCTGTCCCATGTATGGCCATGTCCCATGTATGGCCAGCTGTGCCATACAGGTCCATGGCAGTGCCAACCCACCTTCTGCAGGGGAGGAGCCTGGATGTCTTCCCTGTGGGAATACAGGTCCAGCATTATCCACAGGAGCCCAAAGAAGCCCTGGCTCTTGCATGGTTGTGACAGTAAACTTCAAGCAGTGGGTCCCCAGGAGAGGAAGGAGCTCAGCCCGCTTATGGAGCCCTGTCAAGGGCAGCAGGGAGAGGGATGAGAGCTGCTTCTGCAGACACAGAGAGGCTGCATGAGTGCAAACGATGCCAGGGTGGGAGGAGTGTGCTGAACAACCACTCTGGCTATGCCCTCGTGTTCCCACAGGCTCTGTCCCAGCCCCGGCCAGGGCTGCCTGGTCTATCCCAGGTCAGGGTTAGCTACAGGGGGGTGCAGGGAGCACACAGCAGCATGGGCTACGCTACAAACCACACTCAAACTACATCTCACAGGAACAACACTGAGCAGGAGGCGTGCAGAGCACTGACAGAGGACCCCCAGCCAAGGCAGACATGACATGCTCCTCTGCAGTGGTGGGACCCCCTCGGGTCAGCCCCCACCAGCCTGTGCTTGTTCTACGAACGTAAGCGCACACAGCGATTAGTACAGGAACATTGGGACTACTGGATACACAACAGGAGGTGTCCCTCCTGCTGCACATGGCCAAGCCTCGGCCACTGGTCCCTCCAGATGCCTCACGGCACACACTCAAACTTCTGCTTGTGAATAATTTAACTAGCAAATGTACAGTTTCCTCATCTGATCCAGTTCCACAGATGGGACATCCCTGGAGTCTGGGCAAGGGACAACTCAGGGAGTTAGACAGGGGTCCCTCCGGACTCCAGGGGTGGGAGGGTTGGACAGGAGCAGAGTAGGGTTAGAAGATGGGAATGTAGTTGTCAATCTTGGTCCTGTGCCGCTGGGCAATGCACTCTGCGATCCACACAATGTTGCGGCACTCCTGCTCCTTCAGCTTCACGAAGGCGTAGAAGACTCCAAAGTGGAACTGGTTGAGGAAGGCCAGCTTGTTCAGCTTCACCTGGGGAAAGCCCAGAGGAGGACATGTCACTTGTCCACCTCAGATGGGAGGAGCTGGTCCAGGCAAGCATTGAGCCACTTGGGAGGGTCCATGACTTCCCAGGAGGCTGAAAGGCTCAGCACAGATATCCTGCTCTGTATCACTCTGGGTCCTTAGGACAGCTCTAACCTACAGCACACAGCCCAGGACAGGCTCTGACATATTTATACTCTCAGGTACTGCAAAAATCCTCCTTTCCCCTTTAATTGCACTCTGGTTTTGCTGTTGATGGACCAAATATCCGCCAGCAGCCCCAAACATGCCTCCCACATCGCTTTAACCTGTCTGGGTGAGAAAATGGACCAAGCACCATGCTGGGTTCCCACTTAAACCCTTGCAGGAGCAAGTTTGATTTTCTTTCCCCCAAACCCTGTTTATCCACAGCACTGCTGCTAGGGCAGCAGACAAGCTTGCTGCCACCCTGAGCTTTGCAAATGGCACATGCTTATAACCACCTTGGTGCTCACTCACCTCATGCTCAAAGAACCGGTCTTCCAGGGTTTTGTCTCCAGGGTTGCTGCCAGCCCCTTCAAATAGCAGCTTGTACTCCTGCAGAAAGGCATTACATGAGAATATACCCCATCGCCAAGCTCAGCAGCACTTGGGGGCCACCTGCACCAGACAGACACCCCAGCCATGCTGTTAAGTCAGCAGAAGACAGAGAAGCCAAGAGTCCTGCCCCATCTCCAAAATATACAGTTCTCAAAGCTGTAGTGTCCCTTTGAGCCTGCAGGAAGGGGACAGCAGGTACAGACCCCTCCGTGTACAGACTGGAGTGTTTGGGCCCAGGCCTCTGTGCCCACACACACTGGCACATGCCCTGGCTGCTCAGTAAGGGGACACTGAGCTCTCTGTCTCCAAACAGGTCCCCACCTATGCATAACAGCAGCTTGAGGAAAACACACACACATGCAAATATGTCCTCCCAGGTCAGCATCTCCCCTACAACTGAACTAGAGCCAGGGTTGGAGATGGTGCACACCACTTCTCACTGAAGACACATTTCCACCCCCAAAACAGGCAAGGAGAGCCTGCCATTGCTGCCACACCAATACTTCAAGGGTTTGATGGCAAGAGCAGTCCCACACCCTGGGACAGGGCACAATCACCACAGGAATGACAGCCATGACAAACAAGCCAATGGCACCCCAGGCAAGACAAGTCTAACTTGGCCAAACAGAGCACAGGACCAACAGCAGCAGCAGAAGACAGGCATCCTTCTGCTGAAGCTGTCAATCCACAAGTTCCCCCAGGCTCTCAAGAAGCTCTGATGCGGAGCAGATCCTTGCACCACTCCCTACCTCCCTCACCCCAGAGCACTCACAGGGTAGTAGTCAGCAACATTTTTGACTTGCTCGTAGTCATCTGCCCTGGCCAGTTGTGCCAGGCCCTCAGGGTAGAGCTTGCCACAGTGCGGGAACAGCTTGGCTCGGTCCTCCTTGGACAGCTCAGTACCAAATGAGTTGATGGTGATAATGAAGGCCCTCCGGTCAGCTTCAAACTGTGGGAGAAGAGTAGTTCACCTTGGGATGCAGCATCTTTACTAGAGGCCAGCAGACACCACAGCTACTCTGCACAGAGCCACATCAGAGGGCAGCACAAGGAGACCGTCTGGGAGATGTACAGCTCTCCAGTGCTCAGCCAGGGCAGGCTTACATGTGCAGGCTCCCAGTTCGCCCAGTAGCTGACACCTGGGGAGCAGTCAGGTGAGGAAATCCCCTTCCCAGGCACAAGCCAAATCCTGGCCAAGTCAAGGAGTGTCTCTCACCTACTGCTACTGAATCCCACACATCCCACAGCAAACCTCGCCATGGAGACAGGCTGTGCACTGAACAGCTCTGGTTACTCTCCTGCTCCTTATCCATGTGAGGGAATGAAGATGTTGCCATGAAGGCAACAAATGTGTCAGCACCTGGCAAGATCATGACTGGGGAAACAAAATTACATGCAGGCAGTGTTTCCCAGTGAGCAGGCAGACTAGGCATGGGGATGCTGAAGACTCTCTTGAGCATCCTTAAAGCTGACAGGCAAGCTGGGCCTGAGGAGAGAGCAATGAACATCACTGCAGTACCATCCAGCTATGGGAGTTTCCAGACCTACCTCCAGGATTGGGCACATGGCATCTGCAGTGGTGCCTCCCAGTGTCTTGCAGAATTTGTAGAAGGACTCCAGGTAAGCCTGGAAGAGAAAGGGCAGATGAGCACTCTTCTATACAGCTTTATCTACTGCCCCATAGGGCCCTTCAGCAAAAGACACACAGTAAGCAGGGAGGTTTCCAGAGGCTCTGCAACACAGCAGAGGAACTCTGGCCCCATGTGAACTTGCCCACACAAGGCTTGCCCCAGGAGCTGGAGCCATGAAGGGCTGTGGTTGGGTTAGTTCAAGTGACTGCATGAGCTTACTATGGGCAAGATCCCACAGTAAGGCAGCAAGGTTAAAGCTTATTTTTCTCCTTTGAGTCGTCTAACCCATTTACTGAAGTCTCACGTGGTTTCCTGACCCTGCTCTGGCCTCCACAAACATGCCAAGCCACACAACCCTAGCTGCAAGACCTACGCTCAGAAAGTACCGCTGTGTAAGCAGAGTCAAGAGATGAGACAGGACATCTGTGAAAGAAAACTGCCATTCTGTCTAATTCTCTTTTCACACTGCGGCCGCTTGGTCTCCATCCCAACCAGAGCACTGCAGAAAACATACAAGGCCAGGCACAGCTATGCTGCCTCCAGGAAACGTAATCCTTTGTGGAGATGTATCGTAATCCAGCTGGAAGATGACTGTGTCTCCCAGGGGAAGCCTAGGAAGGCTGTGCATGGCTAAAAGTACTGTTCAGCAAAAACGTTCTCAGAAGAAGTTATCATGTATAAAACACCTCCCTGGGCAGAGAGCTGCAACCAGAATCACTTCAAAAGGATGGAATAAAATGATGCTGAGACATGGCAAATCTCTGCTTTGTCACAACAACTTCAGGACTGAAGATGGACCAAGAATGCAAGTGCTGGACACCCTCAGCCCCTGCACTAGGAAAGCATCTGGATTACTGTGTTCTGTAAGTATTTGCTACCACACAGTTCAAGAGGACAGTGCTGGGTGAGCATCACACATCAAAGAAACACCCTCTCCAGCACTCGCCACTGCTTGGGAGGACAGCACAGAGCCGCAGTCTGCAGAGCTACCACAGGAACAAGGACATAGATAACATGGATAACCTGTTGCTTGGGGCTGACAGGAGAGGGAACATGGGTAAGAGGTTCAGTCACTACCTCTGCTCTTATCAGAGTTCATGCACAAACCTAAGGCTTTGGAAGCAATAAATAGGCAAATTCAAATATCCAGCAGTGAATGAGGATCCAGTATCATAGACACCATGGAAACACAGACTGTAAAACAGCCACACTGGGTGCCCTCCCAGTGACAGCAACTTACAGAAACTGTCTGGTGTCCTGAAACCCTTACCCCAGGAACAGCGGTGTCTTTGCATTTAATGATCCTTAATGGACCTTCACTTTCATGAACCCACTCCCTCTGCCTCCTGCTACCCTCGTTTGTCATCAAATCCAGCCTAAAGGCAGACCTGTGGCCTGTCAATCCATGCTGACTTTTCCAACACTATCTGCAGATACCACCACAGCTGAGATTCCCTCCTCTTTCAGGTGAGGAATCCTAGCTTTTTTTGTCATTTTCCATACAGAACTCATTGTACCCAAGCCTTTAAACGTGTCCTCCTTAGCAGCTGCTCCTGCTCTGCTATTCATACTTGGATACGAGAGGAATGCGACCGTGTCCACGTCAAACACACTAAGGATGGACACAGCAGCATAGTAATATTTGTGCAGCTCTTTTCTACTCTCAAGAACATGTTACCTTGTAGAGACACCTGCTTAGGTCAATCACTACACAAGATTCTAAGCAGCAGGAAGGAACAAGAAGACCCTCACAGTACAAGCAGTTAGAATTACCTCCTTGCCTCTCTCATACATCACTCAACATTTAGACAAATTGATTCACCTGCTTTATTTTACTGTACAATCACAAAGTTCCTTCAGCTTGTTCCCACAACAAGGTCACCAGCAAAGGCCAACAGTCAGTGAGCTTCACTTCAACACATCCACTGAAGAGGTGGAACAAAGGGAGTAAGCACTGAGGATGACAATGCCAGCACACTTGCATTGCAGGACTCCCCTGCTGACTGCCCTCTACACTAAGCACGGACCACTTCTAACCTCTGCTCCCCATCTTAACCATCTTTCCATTTGAGAACCTTCTCACTTGTCACTGCTAACAGGAAATCTTTGTAATGGCTTTCCTTGTATGAATCCTGCTCGAATCTTCTGTTGACACGTTTGCAGATTCCTTCAAAAAACCTCCAGTATGTCTGGGAGGCAGCACTTCCCCTTCACATGCCAACTCCTCAAGGACACAGGCACTCACACCAGGCACCCACCCTGCTGTGTTCCTTGGAGCAGCTCTCTGCAGATTTCAAACCTGATTTTATTTCCCTCATTTACATTGTATTATACATTTTCCAGTCCCTGGGGAAAGAGGTGGTTTCAAGTGAGAGTCTGTAAACAGCAGTCACCTTTTCCACCCCTGCATCCCTATGATTTGTTACGGACAGAGCACCTATGTTCCCCAGGGGCTGCTCTTTAACAAGAGCTAGTCCCAGCACATGCCAAGGAATACCAGGCACCTACACTTCCATTTGGGGGTAGAAAGAGCAGAATGCAAAGCAGTATCAGGCCTCAAAAGGGAGATGGGAATGGACATGGCAGCTGGGACCCAAGGAGGGGCCCCCCCACCTCCCTCCCAACCTGTTTTCCCTGTGCTTGCTCTGCTCCCTACCTCCCCCCTCCTGCCTCGTCTCAACACTGAGGCCTGTGCCCTGCAAGGCTGTGGGTGTTTATGCACACAGGCATCCCTCCCCGTTACAGCAGAAGACCAGTACATGCCAGAGGCCACAGGCAACTGGGCATGACTGCCTACACACTGCTCCTTCTCCCCTCCCTTTGCCTCCTTCCCTTCACGCCTGACCTGCTCTGCCTCTCCAAACAGGCCACGGCTTCCTTGGGAAGTGGAGGTCACACTGACTGCAGGCTGGCTGTGACCAGCCAAAACAAGGTTGATAGATACAATCTGCATCCCACCCTTGATCCAGAGAGTCGAGATGGAGTGATAGCCACAGTCTGTACATAAACACATGCTTCAAAACTGCCAGCTAAAACCAGACAGGGCCTGCAGAGATGACAGCTCAGGACAAGGAGATCCTTAGCCCCTCCACATCCCTGTGCCAATACTCTCCCCAGCTTGCACCTTTTACACTGCCCTATCAAGAACATCTAAGCCCAACCACAGCCATGGAAGGCTTGAGCAGACTACTGGAGGATCTTTGGAAAGGGCTCAAAACAGGGAGCAAAGCCCGTGGGGGTCCTGTAACCAAGTTTAAGATCCAGTCACTTTGAATGCAGTTACCTACACATCTGAACTCCTGTGGTGGGGGAGCAGCCTCCTGCCTGCCTGAGGACTGAGGAAGTTCAGTAATAGGCATAACCTCTGCAAAATCTCTTGCACAGACTCTTGACAGCTCCAAAAAACCCCAGTCTGCCTAGTTCTGGTGCCCTGACTCAGCAGAGCTGGGTGACTGGATGTCAGGCCCCTTCAAGAGCACTACCTTTACTTTCCAACGGATGCAATGAGTTCTTGGTCATGTTTAATCACCACTCCAGGGAAGAAAAACAGAGAACGAGCAAAATAATTTTTAAGTCTACTCCAAAAAAACACCCTCTTGTGTTGGATGAAGAAAGACAACCTAGGTTGGAGCTCCTTCCCCAAGACTGTGCTGTAGTCACACTAGGAATAAACAGGGAAGTGAACATCTCACCCTTCCCAGAGATTCATTTACCTTATACAGCGTGTTTCGAATTATTTCAATGTTCATTTCATCCAGGTCCTGTTCAGATATGCAGTCTTGGAAGAAAGCAGCTGAAACAGAGACACAGACAGAGTTAGCATTGCCTTAACCAGACCCATGCTCAGCACTTGACAGACCCCTCAACAACACCAGGCAGCTGCACACCCTGTGTTGAGCTTGCCACTCCAAGGCCTGGCCCTTATCTTCAGCAGCCACCAAATTGCCATGACTCAGAATCTCAGGCTCCTACCATGGTCCCCTAGGCCACAATAATTTTTGGGGTACTCACATGCAAAATCATCCTTCACCCCAGCCCTAGCCCCCAGCATCAGTGACAGAGCAGCCTGTATTTAAAAACAAGCAAACCTCAAACTATTCCCAGATGCAGCACTCGGAGGTGACAAGGCAGCTTTGAATTGCCTGCTACAGCATGGCAGGAGCATTTCAGCATCTGCAAGATGGCAGCTAGTGAGTCCTGGGGAAATTATGGTTCTCCCTCTTTCTCCATTATCTCAGTGGGAGATAATTAAGGAGGTATGGGGATGCCACAGCTCCTACAGCCCATGACACTCCATGGTTGGAGTCGGGTGTTGTTTCTCCTGGTCAGGTCTATCAGCCTTTTTCCACTTCTTCCAAGGGCTTTTATTTCTCTAGCTGGAGGTATGCAACAGCAGACAGGATGAATTAGTGGGATTTAGTAGGATGCTCAGCCCTACATACTTAAGAGTACCTCTGGGAGGGAGTTGGAGAAGTTGTTGCCACCTAAAGAACACAGATTTCAGACCAAATACAGGGTGCTGCAAGCTGCAGATAGAGATGAGCTTTGTACATCTCAGTTAACATAATGCTGTTGTGCTCCTACTAATAAGCAAGTGGTACAATAAGACCCATCAGCGGGACTTTATGACTTCTTCAACTCTCACTCAGCAAACCAACCCTGCTGAATTTGCTACAAAAAGAAATATGATCTGTCTCAGTTTACACAGCCCAGCTGTGGGTAAAGGACACTGCACTCGTGCTGAGAACTGACCAGCATTGTGCTCTGCAACAAACCCGGTGTGAGGCAGGCTCACTCCTCTGGCCTGCACCACTTTCATAACATGAGCTGCCAGGCAAGGTCAGCAGCAACTTTGGGTCTGGAGGGTCCTGAACAGGGGTTAACCCCCACAGAGGTTTCTTTGCAGCAGCATCAGAGCCCCATGCCACGTGGCTGGAGGAACACTGCTCCCCACGGTTGGCAAAAATGAAAACAGAGTGTGCCAGGACTGTTTTTTACTGCAGGACTCACTGGCTAGCCTGGATAGCTAAGCAGTGGCTACTTCAGAGTAGCAGAGGAATGAGTACACAGCTATTTCAGTTCTTGGCCCTACAATAGCCCAAATTAGGCTTACAGCAAGTCTTATTTTGCCCTGCTAACCTATGAAAGCCATTTGGGGTTAGGCATTCCCACCAAGCCACGTAGCTACTCAAGTACTTTTAGGAGATAGAGATGCTGTTTCTTTGTGTGTGGTCACTGGAAGAGTGCAAGTTAAACAACTGGAGCCTGCATGCCTGCTTGTTTAGGCAACACAGCTACTCCCCATATTTCCCCGCTGAAGAAATTCCACACCGGTTGGTACACAGACCCAAGGGCATGGTCAGGGCAAAGGTCTGGAGAAGTCAGCCCATCCAGGGCAAGAGAAGGCAAAACTCATTTACAAGTACATGAATTCAAGAGGCAAAGACCCTCAAACTGCCAGTCACGTTCTCTAGAACCACCTCACCACTGACATGGGGCATTTTCACTCCATACACTGCTAGCAGCTTTAAGGTCTCCGAGAGCTAATATATTTGAAATACTGCATTCTATCTTATTGCCAAAATGGGAAGGTTCCTGCTTACACTTGAGGAGGATTTTGATTTTCTTCCCACACATCATCCCTATGGTGGGCTCAACTTAGCTGCATGCAGAGCCTCAGCTCTCCTCAGTGCTGCTGCCCTGCCTTGCAACCCAGATCTCTTGAGATATGTTTTCCCTCCTCTGCTGGGCACAAGTCATTTTTCCATGACAACTACTTCACTTGCCCCATTATTAGACAGAGCATTTGCAAAAGCACTTTCAGTTCCAAACCCAACTATTTCTATCAAAGACAATATGATGACTTAAGAGTGTTTTGTTCTTTCCAGCAACCCCAAAAGAATGATTAATCACTGACTCAGGCATATCTCATTACGTTTTTGCCCACAGAGGCTAAACTTGCAAGTCACCTGTGCCTACCTCCCCTACTACTGCAAAAAGAATTCAAGATTTTCTGCAGAACCACTTCCTACACCTTTTATCTTTAAAGAGCGTATCTGTCTGACTAGCTGTTCAT